TATTAGTCAGACTGACAGCTAATTGACTTGGTTTGTATTAAAACTAGACTAATTTCAACAGAGGTGTTTCAGTTACAATTCTGAATTCATAATTGGTTCAGATGTCTATATGCTTTCCCTGGGGCTAAAAATTTAATTAGAACTGTGAGAAACAATCGGCCAATCACATGGCAGTTCCAGGTAGGCTGCAATGCTCAGGCTGTTTACCTTTTCTTCGCTCTTTCTTCTACTGGCAGGATGCATTGATAGCAGCCCTGCCAGGAGCCTATTAAGAAGCTCTGCGGCAAGGAGACTTTTATTGGAGACAATTTAACTGCGGTAGCCTTTGCCTAAGTTAGGAAATTATTCTTCCGTTTCTTTCAAGGAGACAACTGATTACTGGAAATATTTTGCCCTCAGACCCAAACTCAATATAGCCTTTTAAAAACACCTAAAATGAATAAGCCACACCTACCAGATGTGGCAGAAAGGAGGCAGGCCTGGGGCGTGGTGGCACTGAAGCCCTCCACAGACACTATCTCTGCTGCCTCAACAAAAGCCTTTCACGTCAGGCTCTCCTGTCTCCAGTACGGATGTCACTGTGGGCTTAGTATCACAGAGATACTAAGTGCAGCTCTGCACTCCCTGGGTACAGGGCCTTGCACCCAGCAGATGCACAATTAACATTTTTTGGAAGGAAGGGAAGAGCAGTATCTTTAAAAGTTTCAAAACACAGTTACCAAAAATAGAAGACATAAACAAAACACAGATTAAGTCTCCTACTTCAACTCTGCCTTAGCGCTAACGTGAGAAACTGTTTAATCAATTCTTGGAAACCAGCAGGGAAAGGAGTCACAGAAATCCATTGTCCCAATCTCTTCTCAAAACATGTCTATGCCAGGGGCTTCCCTCTTGCACACAGATGTGCCTCTCATCATAGCCATCTGTACGGTAGCAACTTAACACCCTGAAGACTTCAGATGAAGAATAAGCATGTTGTCTTCTCAGAATAGATTGATCATCTACTTAAAGTGAAACTCCAGGGTTGCTGCAGGAACTTCCTGCCTAGCCTAGGATTTTCTCCAAGATAACAGATGACAGGCCACTCACTCTCCACCCTGCAGAACCTAGGCCTCCTCTGGGGCCATTTTTGCACAGAGTACCCTGCCACTCCTGTTCCACTGATCCAAGCGTTGGTGCTGCCTGTACATACCCAACTTCCCTGCCCTGTGGAAACGAACAACTACAACCTGGCTTTCTTACTAGAGGAATTAAATGCACTGGCCCCTTTGAAAAACAGTCCCTCATGTTCCATGGTGTGAGCACAACTATGTATAATCACACTCCCATATGTTGAGGTGAGAAGATGTATGGTGAGGTGCCCAAGCACACAGTAATCCCTTCATCAACATTAAATTCCTTTCCTTCTCTGAAGGAATAGTAGGATTATTGCAATGTCTTTTATCTGTCTCTATCTTTTCATCTATCTATGCACTCACCCATCTGTCCATCCAGCCACCTATAAAACAAATCCAGAAATATATTCAAGACATGTCTGCCTTTTCATAGCCCATTTCCATGAATGAGCTCTGAGGGAATACCTCCCACACATGATGCCCCAGAGTAAAGTAATTCAGGTAAGGCACCTGGGATAACCTGTGTCTTCCAACCTCCTCCAGCTCAATCAACACAAAAAGTTTCACGAGTGTTAGTGGGATGGCTTAGGGCTACACCAAGACCCCATTTTTCCATGGAAACTAATGTCTTCGGAGAATAGTCGAAATAGCATCACACACTAGCTAGGGATCCCAAATCAGCATTTAGCATGCTGATTTCTATGGTCTAAAACTATAATTCACCAATGGCCACATTCCCTGGGGCTATGACTCCCTCTCATATGAACTTGATGTTCCCTCGGAGAACCTGTTATCCTGTGACATATCACTTTTCTTTTTCTGGGTTAATATAAGGGAACACATAATTAGGTACCATTATTTGCATTTGTAAAGTGAAGTCCAAAGCATGAGTTGTGGTAGGAAATGTGCCATATACCCCTGCATTATACCCAAGAGGTGGGAATTTACCCAGTCTCAAGCCCCCCCCCTTCTTAATTTAATTGTGTTTTTCTCCTTTGGGCCTGTAGTTTTCAATCTACTAGTTTCAGATTAGAACTTGGGATGCTTGTTTTTCCATTCTTGAGATACTTTACTTGAGAGAATATTCTCCAAATCCATCCAGGTAAATACAAAAGATGCTAAGTCTCCATCTTTTTATGGCTAAATAATATTCCATGGTATACATATGTCAAAGTTTATGGATCCATTCAAGGACTGATATGCATATCTACCCAGAATAAAAAAAAAAAATTCCTTTTACACACATATTTTTCTTGCTTCATTATCTGTCAGCCTCCCTGCCAGCTCTCTCTCTGCTGTGGAGAGAGTCAGCCACATGGAAAATATTCCAAAAATACTTGTTGAATGAATGAACTCATCAAAGGCTCATTTGGTTATCTTAAATTTCTAACCTTACCAATATCTATTGATTCATGCATGTCAAATATTAATTTCAAATCTAAGGAGAAAGTATGACCCACCCAATAAATATGAATTAGATGAAAAAAATTAACCTCTTTTCAAATCCCATTTATATTAATGATCACATGAATTTTTAAGGAAAAAAAAAATTTACTGTCCCAATTTTCCAAAGTATATGTGTTATGACAACCACCAAAACATCCATCTTCCTGGTCTCTAATTTCATAATTAAAATCTTTTGAATTGCCTGGTGTTTTTGCTTTATAAGCAAGATTTACATATGTATCTATTGTAATTATTGTGTATTTTGTTGATTTTAAAAATATCAATAAATCTACACTCATGTGATTGATGTTTCAAACTAAAGTCAAGAATTTAAATTCTCAAGTCTGACAAGGGAGCCAAATATTTGAAGCTTTTTCAGTGGTTCTCAACCTCCCTAATGCCGTGACCCTTTAATACAGTTCCTCATATTGTGGTGACCCCCAACCTAAGAGGTTGAGAACCACTGGTTTAGATCAGGTGTCCTCAAACTGCAGCATGCCTAGGACATTTATCCGGCCTGCTGGGTGTTTTTGCTGCTGCTGCCTGTCCTGCTTAGCAGCCGACTTGTCCTGGGGCCCACAGTCCCGCCCTCCAACGGTCTGAGGGACAGTGAACTGGCCCCCTGTTAAAAAGTTTGAGGACCCCTGGTTTAGATGGTCTGATATATTATCTACACATCTGTCTTGTTTTATTAGAAATGGATGTTAAAAACTTATGTCATCTAGAATCATGTTAAAACCCACTCAGCCATTTTTAGAAGTATAGACCTAAACACTGCAGCCCTTAGGAAAGCATCCAGCCCATCTGTACCTGAGGGTCCATTCTGAGGAAGTTGTGAGGGCCTCTGCTAATCAAGGTTGATCTTTTAAAGGTTTTGCTATGATAAAAATGGTAGTAATCTTCCAAGGTTCCAATCTGCAAAACAGGAAGCAGAATAACCATCAGTTAATACAGCTTCAAAAGTCCTCCATCCCACAAGAATCTTCACCTTATCTCAGAGGCTTATTTTCCCAGAGGAAACATATGCTTCCCCCCTGTAGCTCTGGCGTATGTTCAGCATTTATGAATGTGAAGGTGGATTTAGTTACTCATTTTTAGATAAACAACTCTAAGTGATATTTCCCACGAAGCACACACGCCACCAAATCTTGTAGTAGATGGATAATATCACTTAAAGTTTGTACTATGTTGGCTAATTCTTTTAAACAGAAATTAATGTTCATTTAGGGCCGAGTATCCCTGAAGTAGCTAAGTTGGTGTCAAGTCAGGTCTATAACCAAAATATTCATTTATAAACAAACCCTGTCCTCTCCAATCAATGGGGAAACTGAAATATCAAAGAATGAATACTCACTCTTAAGTGCAACAAGGAAGCCAAAGAAAACATGTAGATTCATCTGCTTGGGGATTGTGAAAGGGTCAGATGAGAACATCTTAACCTCTGGGTGTCCCAGGTTTCTGCCAGGGGCAGATGGTCAGGACAGACTTCAGCTTGAAGACTGGATGGACCCAAAGGCAGCCGTGTGGCTCAACCCTAGCCTTCCAGAAGGGCCAGCTCTCCTTGCAGTCCCAACATACCCACTACCTGACAGCTTCTTCTAAATTTCAGTAGTTAAGAAAATTGCTAGTTAATCACCAACCTCAAAATGAACGTTTTAAATAAAGATAGAATGAGTATTATAGACACTCTCAAGTTGCCCTTTGCAGGCTAAATCATCCTAGTTTCTTTTCCAGTTTCTGATTAAAGGATGAATTTAAGACTAATCGTCTTCTAGAGGAGTTTTGTAGTGATTTACAAACATACGGTTTTAGTTGGGTAACCTGGTCCAAACCCTCCCTGCTCTCCACCATTTGCTGTAGTGTTCTTATGCAAGGATATTCAACACCTGTGAATCTCAATTCCTTATATGTAAAATGAGGATAAAGCTCCTTATCCCTTGGAGTTGTTTAAGTAGGACTAACATCCACCCAACTCACAACAATCCCTTGGATGTCCCCACCTCACTCATAGCCATTCTGTCTATGACCTAACTTCAGTAGAGTTAACTGGTTCAAGCAGAGACCTGGAGGAACGTGGATGCTACAAGTGGCCATTTCCATATCTTTGCACAAGAAGTTAAGGCAGATGTACAAGAGAACGCTCCAGCCTCTTTACTAACTTTCAGTTCTCCCTTCCGGCAATCCTGGCAGTTTGGATGCCTCCTGTTCCTGGGTTTAGGAAACACTCCTTTCTCCTTAAAATAAAGACTCTCCTTTTTCACTTACGCTTACTCCAGTGTGTTTTTCTTCCACAGAACATCAAATACTACGATAGCCATGAGGATTAAAGTAGTGTTATCTATACAGTGCCCAGTTTAGTGCCTAGAACCTAGTGGATGCTTGACAAATGGTGTGGGAATTGGGATTCTCTCTCTGGAATCTCTCTAAGCCTCCTCCATTCCTCCTCTGGGTTTGGAATGTCACATCTAAGTCTCCACCTAACTTGACCCCTTCCTACTGGGTGACCTGTGTTTACCCTCTGAAATTTCCTCATGAGAGTAATAACTACCACCTTAAAGGATTGCTCCAAGATCTGGATGAAATATATACATGTGAAAGAGCTAGGAGAATGTCCAGCTGGGTTTCCATAAACAGTTTTTCTCAGTTCACTCATTACCTCAAGACATTTTTCTGCCATCACAAACCTCATTATTTCTGCCCTGTTTTGCCCATAAGCACTTTTATTTTTCTTTTCACAGATTAAGTCACCTTGCTCACTTCTTCAACAAAGTTAATTGCTATATGTATCAAAAGGCTCCTCCCAGCGTATGCTAGAGCTGTTATTTAGCTGCAGAGGCAATCATAGAATCTTAACTTACAGCAGTATGTAATCAACACTTTTGCTTATAAGCTGCCACCATCCCTGGGAGATGTTACACAACTTTGGGTCTTTTAATGCCAGGCATTCAAGTCAATTCCCATTCAGGGACAAGAAGGAACTAAGAGTTGAATTAAACCAGCGGGTGAAGGAAGAGATTCTCGGTAGAGCTGCTGACCCTTAGTAAGCCCATGTCAAGGTGGCCCTGGAAGCCATTCAGGGTAGCACCTGGTCCTTGGGAAGAAGTAGCCACCCTCTCTTCAAAGGCCAGTCCTAAGGCGTCCAGCACGCTGCCTCTGAGCTGCCCCAATCCTTCTTAGCAAGGGTCCATGGGATCTGGGTTGATGTGGGCTATTCTCTCAGAGCAATCCAAGAAAAGAACAGATGGTTCCCACAGCACTAACTAGGCAAACTGCCTCTGTGGGCAGCAGCGGGCAGCACCACATCTGTTTGGTTACTTATGCCCTGCCCAGCATGGAGGTCTGAGGATCTGGAGAGCGCTAAGTCCACTGCAGGGAAAACAGGAACACGAACCAAGGTCACCTTTCTACCTTGCAAAGTAGAAGAAGTGGAATCTGGCCACTCTAGTGAAACAACACAACATTTATCCTTTTGAGACTAGCTCATTTCACTTAACATCATGTCTCAATGTTCATCCATGTTGTAGCATGTGCCAGAATCTCCCACTTCCCTTTTTGAGGCTGATTTATATTCTATTATAAGCATATACCACATAGCATTTACCTAGTCATCACCTGATGGACACTTAGGCTTGCATCTACCTTTTGGCTATTAAGAATAGTGTTGCTATGAACATGGGTATGCAAATATCTGTTTGTGTCCATGCTCTTAGTTCTTTTGTATATATTCCCACCTCCTGTGTTTTGATATGATTTTATTGGAACAGAATCACACCCATTCATTTACCCACTGATCACAGCTGCTTTCGTACTATAATGGGGGAGTGGAGCAGTTGCAACAGAGACCCCATAGCCCACAAATCTAAAATAATTTATATGTGAACTTTACAAAAAAGGTCTGCCAATCTATAGAGCATTTGCTATTGGGAATATTCTGGGAGTTCACTAAGTCTCTGGTGACGAGCATGCACACTCTTTCTAAGGTTGGGAACACTGAGGGACTCTGATAAACACAGGTGCCGCTGCAATCCTAAACCTTCAGCATCTCATTTAATCACTGAGCCATTCTTTCTCTAGAATCCTTCTTGTCTGATGCCCTAGTAGGCCACACCCTTCTTGTGACTCACATTGTCCTGCCCTCTCCACTCCCCCTACCCCGTATTAGGCATCAGGTCAGGAATGTGAGGTTTTCATGGTGGACAAAAGGCCAGAGAGAATCCAAGGTAGCAGTACAGGAAGCAGGGGCAGCTGACACCACCTGGAACACAGGCTGAGATGACTGGGCATTTATGATGCAGCCATTTCCTGCCTCTTGGAATCCACCCCTTCCCCACCTTGGAGATTGTGAGGGCCTCAGCCTTGGACAGGGTCACTCAAGGGGATGTAGCTACTGATCTGGTTTAACACGCCCTTTGGCTCTGACTCACAGACTGGGTTATGGGGAAGAACCACAGAGATGGCCCCATTTTATAGATGGGGACATGAAGGCCCAGGGAGGTTAAGCCCATGCCATACCATGGGACTCCCAATTTCTGAACTAACAATTTCCTCGGTCTACCAGCAGACAAGCAGGTGACAACATTTGACAATAGATGATATAGAGAAACACAAAATAGGTTGTTCCTCCCAGCTCTGCAGTCTGACCATCCTTGGCCACAGTCTGGGACAGTGTCTACCCCAGGCATTGGCTCTGCTCCTGGGATCATGGCTCATGGGCTCTGTGTATCACATCTTGAACAGTGTCTGAGCAGCCTGCCTTAATCAACACAGCAACAGCTCCCACAGGATGCTGCTACTAGAGGGTCCTTGTAGCCTCCTCCTCCCTCTGAGGAACAGAAGAGAAACTCCACATCCACCATCCCAGGCTGTGCCCCAGGCCTACTCAGCTCATCAGCCCTTCATCTGCTCTTCGGCAATAAATCTGACCACTGGTCTGTAAGGTGTTGTGTTTTAAAGTCACAACAAATAATTTCAGTATGTTCATGTTCTCATTTGTGCCCATGGTATTTTCACAATGTATTAGAGCCAGGCTCTTAGTGCACCATTCAAGAAAACAATTTGTTGAATACAGAATGCTCACATCTCTTTACTCAACATTGATATATAATTGTATCCATTAGCTGACAAAATTGGTAACATCATTAACACATCATTAAAAAGCTTGCTAAATATTCTCGATGAGAACATTGAAAGAAATGAGATAAAAAACTCACAGTGAAGAGAGCTGAATGTAGTGCAATTCTCTTTAATAGGATGCTCATTAGACATTTTAAAAAATCTAGAAAATATAAGCACATGATATAAAATATGGAAGGTACAAAAGGATACAGAGTTCATAGAGAACACCAATTTCTGCTCCTTCTCCTGTCCCATAGCCATAGTTCCCCAACTTTTACTGAGTGCTCCCGGCTTATAATAAGAGCAACTAATGCTTGCTGAGTACACACCCTCTTGCTCTTCCAGGCATCAAGCTCAGAGTTCAGATGAATTAACGAACTTAATTCTCACAATAACCCTGCAGATGTGATGATCATTCTTATCTTGAAGATGAGGAAATTAAGGCACAGAACAGTAAAATTATCCGAGACTACAAATTTAGTCAATAGCACAGCCAGGATTCTTTTATTTATAATTATTTTTGAGACAGAGTCTTGTTCTGCTGCCCAGGTTGGAGGGCAGCAGCATGATCATGGCTCACTGCAGTCTCAAACTAATAGGCTCAGGTAATCCTCCTGCCTCTGCCTCCTAAGTAATTAGGGCTACCTGTGTGCACCAACACACCCAGCTAATTTTTTACTTTTCATTTTTAGTAGAGATAGGGTCTTGCTATATTAACCAGGATGGTCTCAAATTCCCAGCCTCAAGCAATCCTCTGGCCTTGGCCTCCCAGGTTTCTTAACCATCCTTCACTGTCTGCC